ACACATTAACCACTACAATAATCACCATAACAATCATTATAATAATCACCATAACAATCACCATAACAATCAACACATTAACCACTACAATAATCACTACATTAATCACCATAACAATCACTCTGATCTGATCCTAAACCTCACACATTTTTTTATTTCCTTCCTCTGGTTATAAAATGGTTCCTAAACTGTGGTAACTGTAACATTAGTGGTATTTGGGCTCCCTCTGGTGGTAAACCCTGGAGCCTTTTGGTGCCGCTGACGGCAGGAAAAAACAAACAAAGTGAAACTCGTTTAACGGAATGTAATTTTTTTTACCTTAACGAACTCCACGGTGAGCTTGCCGTTGAACGTAGACACCTCCCCTTGCACGCTCAGCTTCCCCCGTCGGATAGAGAACGGCACCGTCTCGTCGTGGGCCGTGCTGTGACCCACGCGATCAAAGATGTCCAGGTCCTTCACCACCACGTGTCCGTTCAGACGCACGTCGAACACCTGAGGGTCAGACACGACCAATCGACCACACAAACAACCATCTTAGTTTTCTCTCTGTCATATTCGCGTCTGTAAGAAACGTTATCGTTTTTTTTTTCCTCCGATAATGAAAACCCAATAACGCAATGCCTGCGTTTTGCTAAATGATGTGTGCCCTAAAATTAGTTTTGGGGAAAAAAAGTGATTGAAGTGAGTCACTAGATGGCAGCATTGTATCTCATTTTATGAATCTATTTAAATAATCGGGGGATTGTACGCGGAATGTCGGTGCCAGCGACTCATACAGTGGTTTGTACAGATAAGTAATTAAATATTACCAGGTCTATATCGGTTGATATCGGAATCGGAAATTAAGTGTTTGGAAAATATCGGCAAAAAGTTAATATTGGATAATAGAGTAAAAACAGGTCTACGGATCACGTAACCGCAGGTTTGGTCAGACTTTCACAGTTCTAATCACCTGACAGAGGAGCGGGACAGCCTCTGGTGGCAGATTGTGGAACTGCAGTGTTTCAAAGTTCAGTAGAGATTTAAAGCCAGAGCTGGGAATGGGTTGAAGTGAGGCTCAACAACAGGCTAGGGCTAAGATACAACGTTACGGTAAATGACCCACGAACTGGTGAGATGATCGGGAAAAAACAAAAAAAAAAAAAAAAATGAAGTTTTCGTACCTTTTGCTGCGACTGAGCGAAGTACACCTCCGCAAACTTCAGAACCAGTATGTAGTCTCCCTCGTCTCTGATGGGGACGTCATATCCAAACGTGTCCTCGCTGTAGCGCTCCGTCTGGTACAGGATCTGGTCCTCCGGACTGGAGCGCAGGATCGGAATACGCACCCCGTAATCAGAGGCTGCAGGAGAAAAATCGAGATTTAATATTTGTTTACACAAAAAATTTTTTTTTACCCTGTATGAAGGTAATACCCCTAAAAAAAATGAATGTGCTTCCTCCTGTCAACCACTGGAGGGCGTGGCCGTCACCGTCCTTCCTTCAATCGTTTTTACAACTGACACCATGAACCGTTTGAAGAACTACACAGACCAACTCAAACTAATGTACCTGCAGAACCAGCTCAGCGCTCCTTTCCACCCATTGGTGGCCTCGGAGCTAAACCCAGTAGAGGGCAGTACTGGACCTGAAATTATGCAAAGCTGCTGTATAAAGTACACAGTGGTTTGTTTATCTGTTCTCAATCTAACTTCAATGGTTCCCTTGTTATTTTGGGGTTTTTTTCCCCCTCTTGTTTTGCAGGAAACTCAGTAGGGGGCAGTACTGCAACTGAAAATATATAGAGACTGAGGGCAGAAAAAGAAACATGGCTGGTTATACATACATATACACAAACACACACTGTACATATATACACATATATACATATACACACATATACTGTACACATATATACACATATACTGTACATATATACACACAATGTACATATATACACACATACACACATATAGTGTACATATATACACATATGCATATATGTACAGTATGTGTATATATGTACAGTATGTGTATATACACACATATATATACTGTATATATAGTTTTCTGAGAGGGTCAAACCTGTGATGTTCAAACTATGGTTCGTGTACTACTGGTGCTTCTTGGGCTCTCCCTACTGCGACGGTGGGGAAATGAGTTATTTGCCTGCCTTGTAATTGGTTTTACCGTTTAAACTGAGCACCAGTTTTCAGAGCTACTGCTGGAAGACGTCTGAGAACCACTGCTCTGGAGTCACATACATTACGGACACATTTCCCAGAATGCAAATCGATTTCATGCACAGCGTCTTTGCCTCCTGGGCGACGTCATCAGTCAGTGATTTCTCTATCATAACCTGCTTCCTCCACACGCTGATGGGCGGAGCCACCGCCTCAATGCTGACTCCTCGTTAGTTTGAGGTGACTTGCGGAAGCCAAGCTGCAGCGAAGGGTCTGTCGCGCGTCAATTGGACGTTTAAACACCCCGTCACGATGCTAACACAATCCGCACGTTCTTAACGTCGAGAAACACCAACCCCCGTAACACGAACACCCACCAAAAAAAAAAAAAAACAACAAAAAACGTCAACTCACCTTTACCGACTTTTCCTTCCAACGGGTCCTTCTTGAACTGAATTCCGTGCACGTCTATGTGTGCGTCTCCGCCGGCGTTCACCGCCCAGATGACCCGCTCGGTGAGGCTGGGACCACCGCCGTCCGCCCAGCACTGCCGTGAAAGCAGCGACAGCACCGTAGCCAACAGCCCGGCGACGAGAGGCGCCGTGAGCCGCTGCATCGCCACACACACACAGCCGGGTCCTGGCCGCAGACAGTGGGTAAACCCCGCAGCACAGAGTCCGTGTTCCTGCACGGAAGTACCTCCTAAAAAAAAAAACCAAAACGTACAACACGGTTAAGAGCAGACGATCTCTTCCCGGTGACATGCAACGTGATACATCGTTAGCCGCTGTGCTAACCTCAGACAGCACGAAACCGGTAGTAGCGTTAGCATGAAACGGCACAGATACGAGCCGGACGTCGACTGTCAAACTACAGACGGACTTTCGGCAAAAGTGAGAAACTGACGCGTGACGCACGGTCACCGCGTCGGCGACATTTTGGCGGAGGATAAAAGGATGAATTAACGTCGGCGAGCTAAGCTAGCTGTAGCTACCTGTCCGTCCACAGTGTGTGTGAGAGAGCGGAGGCTAACGTTCACGCAAACGTTACTCCTCTTACCTTTATAGCTGACACGTTTCTCCCAAAAACCGGCTCCGCGCTAACGTACAGCTGCGGGCCCCGGCCCCGTGCTCTGGTTGTCCGCCCCCGAAGTGTAGCGTCTCACCTGCCCGTGCGGATATCCTCAGTCACCGGTGGCCACAACCTGCTACACTGACTTTCATTCAATAATGCGTGTAACCGTGCAGCCAAACTCACGTCTGCTCAGCCAGAGGACAGGGGGCGGGGCTTAGCCGTGCTACCTACCCTGATACTGCGGATGATTGACAGCGACGTCGTCGAATTAAAACCTAACGTTTAAGCACTACGGAAGAGTGGTTCTTTTTTATTGGCCTATTAAAACGATTCTATCATTGTGACTCCGTAGATATATATATATATTTTTTCTACTACGGAATAAACGTAACGGTGTTAACGTAGCCGATTTTCCTTTGATGTTCCGGTTTTTTTTAGTTCGCCGTGTTTTCCAACGCACCTTGTGTTGATTTTTTTTGACAATATTTGTGACAATATTTATGACAATTCCGCTGCCATTTCTGTGACCTTTGACACAGATATTTGGAGACGCTGTTCCAGAAGCTTCTTTTTTTAACCATGAAACTATTAATAAACGACTAAAAAAAAGTTAATTAATAATAAATAAAAGCGTGTGTACACGTGTGTAAAATGTGTACACAAATATTTGTTTATATTTTATTTTATTTGTGTATTTATCACATGTAAAAAAATCCAGATTTTTTTTTCTGTTTAAACTGAATTAATTTTAATTTTTTTTTTATTGTTATTGAAATGTTAATTGATCGATTGGTTGATTTATTGAACTTTACTCAGCCCTGAATGAGTGGAGATAGTTACCATGGCGACCGAGTTTACTGGGTGACAGGTGTT